CTGGTGCAGTGTTTTAGTAATTAATAGTAGTTTTATATTACATATCTTATTAATAATGTTTAAGATTTAATTGATTTTTAACTGTTATAGGTTCTTATTAACTGTGTGTATGGTTTTGTGTTAGTGTTGATAATAGAAGTACATCTCATTTTATTTTTTTTAAGAAAATGGGGGAAATGGATGCCCTAAAAGCATTTAATTAGTGTAATTCATTAACTTCAAGGAGAGAAGTGTCTGTGTTTTGTTGGCAGGTTCAAAAAGGTCACCTGTCCATCTGACCAGACTGTGTGCCTCTGAACACACGAGATCCAGTGAACAGAGATGTCATCACGCAGCCTTGGTACTCCAGACATGGATCAGAAATGGACCTCTCAGGACACAGTTGTGTCTGAACACTACACAGACAGTTTACCGACAGAAATTTTATGTTGTTATTATGATATTGTGTCTCTATCAATTTTTCAGTTATCCCTTGTTTTAAGATTTAGAAGGATCTGAAGAACAACTTGAACATCAAAGCCCTCAGTCACCGATCAACTTCCAGCTGACATCACGGGAGCAGTGAACGTTCCAGGACTGAATCGTGTTAGAGAAATGCTGTAGAAGATCTAAGAAAAGTGGAGACTCCATCTAACTGTATCTAAAGCAAATTGTAGTTGTGTGTTTACCCTTTCAGCAAATTGCTTTCACACTCAGACTACATATATACCAGAGCACATGTGTTAAAGGTAGTTAGATAATAGTTTAAGATAAAGAGTTTAGCCTGTGTAGTAATTGTTATGTTAGTATAAAGTATAAGTATTCCCCCTTCAAGAGGTAGTGTAAGCATCTTTGAAAGTTCATTTAACGTTAAAGTTTTAGCTGTGAGTTTATAAGTATGGTGTCATTTACATGGAACAAACTGCTTATGGTAATTGTGCTGTGTATAGTCCTGACCAACTGTCTGCTAACTAACATCCAAAAGTAGCAGAACATATGGGTCACTCTGGCACACTGAACTGGCCAAAAGTCAATGTGTCTAAGCCTAGCCACCCCTGGAGATCCTTTCGCACCTGTCTCATAGGAGTCCCTGAATAGGATCCTCCAGCATTTAAAGGTTTAATCAGTAATGAGACTCGACTAAATCGATTGGCGATGTTGCAAGAGTGCAGTCGCACTGTTGGCTTCACATTAAGACAACTTGAAACCTGTTAGCAAGCAAATATTACCAAAGCTCTCAATGTTACAACCCTCAGAAGAATTAGATTTGTTAAGTTCCACCAATACCTCAGGTGAATAGATAATGTTTGAACCCTCAACAAAAAGTCATTCCAACAAAGTAATGCAGCACTAGGCTGCAGTCAGTCGACCCTACAGCTGATCTCATTACTACCATTAAAAGTAAAGCCTTTATTAGTGGTGCAATCTCACAGAACAATTACCAAAGCGATTACCTAGTTCCATATTCCTAATCTGTAGAAATAGAGCATGGAATTAGATTCCTGCTAGTCCACAGAAGACCTTGTTATCTTGGGAAACTTAACTTTGTTCCACCCAAGCCTACATCAATTGCTGAATGTAGCTAGCAAAATGAAAAACATCAAACAGTCAAAGCGAAGCCTGAATGAATTAAAGCCTAGCCACTCTAAAAAGGCTCGCTTGCTAGACTAAGAAAGAATTAAATTTAATATCCACAATGTTAAGTGAGCTTTCAGCCGATGTGAGTAGTGTACATCATGCAGTATTATAAAATCAAGCTGCAACTGACCTTTTGTTCTTAGCACAAGGACATGGTTGTGAGGAGTTTGAAGGCATGTGCTGCTTGAATCTTACTGATCATTCAGCTTCCATCCATAAGCAACTACAACAGCTACAGGATGGGTTACATGCCCTGAAAGAAGATAGTGACCCCATTAGAAGTTGGTTCACCAGCTGGGGCATCACTGGATGGTTGAGGTCTCTTGTGCTAGAAGGGGGACAGACTTTACTTATAATGTTAATTTTGATGTTATCTTATCCAAAGCCTGGTTTGTGCAAAAAGAGAAAGGGGGAATTGTTGATATATTTTATATATTAGTAAAGGCCTGTATGCACAAACCAGCCTTTGAAATAAGTCGTGATATTAAAGGCTAAAGTCCTTGAAACCTTCCTGCAGAAGAGAGTAAAGCAAAACAATATCCTTGTGTGCAGGGGAAAATATGTAAACCTGTGTGTGCTAGCCAATAGTAGCTTGCTCTGCCCATGGACCCTGTAGAACCCTATAAAAGGTGTGCTAAAGATAGAAATAAATGGCATTCACAATTACTTCTGTGAAGACTGGTGAATAGCTGGCGGTCTCTCAATAGTTTACCACTGGCTCCGGTGGTGCTGCCGCGGGGGCGAAGCTGGTGGCCTTGACGGGCCAGGGGTCCCAGGCTGCTGGAGCTTCTTCAGCTGGCCTGTGGACTTTGTCCTCCTGTAAAATGACTGTGCAGCTGAGCGTATCAGGCATTCCATGTGCTTCCGAATGCTTTGGTCCGGTGGGTGAGGGCATGAGTGGGCTCTTCTTGTGGCGTGGTTGAATATCACTGCTCAGGGCATCATTGTTCACCTAGGGGACGTTGATTCGGATTTCCTGGGGTGCATTTCTGCCATGGGTTCCACACGCACCCCTCCTGTTTCTATCCCTGCGGGACCTGGATTTGCTCACCCTGTGCCTTTTGAGTTTTATGTTCGCAGAGCTGAGAACCAGCTGCGGGGAGATGGTGGCTTCGGGTTCCCTGGACCTCCCTGGGTCACTGGACTGTTGTTCTGACAGCCAGGGATCATCCTGAATGGGTCTGCACCCTGTCCATCCTTGGTGAGATGCTGTCAGAGATTAGCTTCCGCGGGTTTTTGACACTGGCATGGACATCACGATTGTCAGGTTTGCTGATGGGCCCCGGAGTGACCCTTGGACCCGATGCTGACACATTCTATGCAAAGAACTTGAGACTGACTCTGTTCAGCAGATTCTGTTTTCCTTTCTCATGATAGACTAGTCACCCTCCGCGACTTGATGCAAGAACAGTTGGATCACAGTGATCTGAAGTTTCGACCAGTCCCTGGGACATTCCTGTTTTCTGTATCAAGAAGAAGTCTGGGAAATGGGGGTTGGTATAATACCTCCAGGAAGTTACTGCTATGATGGAAAGCATGGGGATGTTGCAGACTAGCATGCCTTCCCCTGCCATGTTTCCTGCTGATTGGCTAGTCCTCATTGTGGATCTGAAGAATTGTTCTTTGCAATTCCTTTGCATCCCGACGACAGACTGAAATTTGCCTTTTTGGTGCCAGCTATCATTAATGCTGAGCCCACACAGAGATATCAATGGAGATTTTGCCATAAGGCATACAAAATTTGCTAGCATTTGCCAATGATATGGAGCTGCAAGTGACTCCAGAAACAACCTCCTTGAAATTATTTGAGGGTCAAAATAATTTTGGGACAAACACTCCCACATTTGGAGGTGCAATTATTTTTTTCTTTGCATTCAGTGCAGACACTGCATGAATGGTGTCCAGATATTAATGGACTTTCACATGGTTGTGTCCCTATATGGGACTGACCACAACACAACAGTCTCCCTTGTTTGGTCTATTAGAGGGGGACTCTGATTTTAAAGTCACCTCTGACACTGACCCCAGAGGCACAGTAGATGCTGGAGGAGGTTCTGTGAGCAGTTTCTGCTCCTCAAGTTTATTACATTAATCTTTCCATTGATGTCACTGTTTTGTTTTTAGTTTTTTGGAGAGTCATGAGGCTGGATCAGCCCAATTGATGGAATTACAGGCTGCTGTCATAGCATTTCATAAGTTTTCCCAGGCACCTTTCAATTTGGCCATGGATTCTGCCTCCGTGACCAAATTGAGAGCCATTCACAAGCAGGTGTTGATGTTGGACAACTGTGTCATTTATTTTTGAGTTTTGTTGTTTTTCTGGGTTTTTTGTTGTTTTTTTTTGTAATAATGAAAGGGTGAGATATCGCCCTGAAATTACAGCCCTCTGATTGTACGGAGTATTGTATTTTCCTGTTATTTATTTTTTGATTGTTTATATTGTTGCACGTTTCTTTGTTCATTTTTCTTTTTTCTTTTCTTTTTGTTAAACCAAAAAGGGTGAGATGTCGCCCTGAAAACTCAGCTTCTGAGCTTGCTGACATGGTTTTCTAAGGACTTTCCCAGGACAGTAACAATAAACATAGATATGTGTACATTCTTTCTGTTACACGTTTTGTGATGGGCATCTCTCATGGCCAGTGCAGTGAGAAAGTGTTATCCTGACCATCCAATCCCTGGCCGTGGTAAGAAGCCTGTAAATCCTGGGAGGAAAATTAAACCCTGCTCTCTCTTTCACCACACCTCGACCTGTGTCCGTGTGATCTATTCATCTTCAGCGGTGACACTTACGATGGCTGGAAAGGGGATTAAAGGATGTTGGGGAGGGTGGGATGGGGTTCTGGGGGTCCTGGTGGACACTGGGAGAGAGTTTGGGGGTGCTGGGAGTCACTGGGAGGGATTTGAGTGAGCCTGGAAGGGATGGAAGGAGACTGGACATTGGAAAGCAGGGATTGGGATGAGGTTGGTTGTGCTGGGAAGAGACTGGGAGGAGTCTTGATGAGTCCTGGTGGGGCTGGAAAGGGCTTGGGG